TATATAGAAATATTAATTCTGGTAAAATTAAACAAGTTGCAAGAACTGCAATTACTTCAAATGATGAAGACAAAATATATATTGTAATATCGTTGTATTCTATTTCATTTTTTCAAATGTATCTTATTGACAGAAGATGAAAAACATGAAAATTACTGAACTGTAATTAGATATAGCAAAATGCCTCAAATTTGCCTAATTTACATGTAATAACAGACAAGATCACATGTGTACTTGTCATTACAATATCTACAATCTTTAGTAATTCCCTTAGCTCGTTATGTATAAATTTAAAATGTAAAGAAGTTATTTAGATACTGGACTGGCTATAAAAGAATGGATAGATTTAGTATCGACATCCAAATTTAACCAAATCAATTGAGTTAAGTCCTTTATCATTACTTATGTTGATTAACACCAATGGTGAATGATAATGGATTTCTGTTTTAAGGCAGTGGTTGAAGGCATGAGAGAGGTGTATGTATTTATGTTCTATATTTAGAATGGTATAAGACTTAAATATAAATCAATCATATATTTGAAAAAGACATCCATTATTACTAAGTATACAAATTATCTGAGTTATCAAGTGATTTTCTCTTGTAGATCCAGTTTGTTATCACATGGGAATCAAAAATCAAAGCTTTGAGTCATATTTTAAATAGGCATATGGTAAAAGCCCTGACGAACTATAAATTAGAAATAATGTACAACATGTGGTATTTGATCTATCTAGTACTACAGTAAACAGAATGTTTATATTCTGTCAAGTGGTATAACCATATATATATCGCATCATTGCACTACCCTTCTCCCTCCACAATCCCTGCCCTCAAACTTAGTCAGGGAATCTTGTTTTTTAATCACAATGGTAATTGGTGATGTCCCTCAGCTTACAAGATGCTACTGGTAGCATTTACCATGGGGAATTAAACTTGCAAGTCACATGTCACTTCCTTCCCAACTTACAAGATACCACCTCCATCACCATCATAATAACACAGGATATCCTGGATATTACCTCCAACTGCTTATCACCAGCAGATCACCACCAGCAGGTTCCACACCGACCTTGATCACCAGCCCACAGGTAACTAACCATCCCCGGCCCAACCTTGTCCCTCAAAGGGTTTTGACCATAATTTTGGCTTTTGTTAAATTCTATTATATCATGATCTAAAAAGCACCACCACAGCTATGGTGCTGCTCAAATATGTCATGATACCTATTTATAGGCAGTTAAAAGTTATTATTACTAGAAGAAAAGAGAAAATCAATGAGGTTACCAGCCACAGATGACGTCAAAATGTTACTTCAGCTGACCAGTGTAGTGACAGTGAAATATTCTAATTCAAACTGAATCATATGTATCATTCTATACAAACTTGAGCAAATCAAATTGTTTAAATAAAAGGAAATTAGTGGACAATCCACATCAAAGGATCACAAGTCAGCGATATGCCCATGCATCTCTTCATCTGGATATATGAATGTTAGAAGTATAATTACACAAGTATTAAAGATTCTTTTATGATTTCGGTTTGTCAGTTTAAAACTGTTCTGTAACAGAGGTATTTACACATGATGACACCTACACTCAGCTCCATACATGAGGACGAGTGTCAACAGTAGTAACATAGGAGAATCATGCAGCAATCCACGACTAATTGATATATATATCCTAGTACATTTCAGCAGTAAAAACATATAACAAAATGTCCTGAAGGTAGGAAGGTAAATGTTACCATGGGATTTAGTCCTGATTTTCATATTTACATGTACAAAATTTTTTTTAGATTACAACAAAGAACCAATCTTCCTAGCAGAATTAACTACCTGATTTATATATATTTGTGGTAGATGCATGAAGTGTGTTTGTGAATACACTCCTGGGGCAAGCAGTTCATATCTAAACAGCGGATCTAAAAAAAATGTTCTGATTTGTTATTTTAGTGATTATAACAGGTTCACAAAAAAAAGATATAAACAACACTTTGATGTCATATGACCTCATTCTGTCCTAATAGTATGCATATTTACCAATGCGCTAAAGGGGAAGGGACAAGTTTTGGGTGTCATCTGTACATGTACTTTTGGTGATTGTTTGTGTGCTGAGAGAGATGAGGTACCAGGGTCTGCATACATTATTGCATCATTTTAGTAAGAAATATGGATTTAAGAAAAATTGTGACCCCAACTTTCAATGACAGGACCACCTTCAACCTGTAGTCTTACATTCATATACATCAACTGACATAAACTTCAACTACACTCTCCTTGTTCAGGAACTGGAAGATATATGATACTATTTTGATGTGCAATGTAATGATGTGCACTTATAATTGTATTCAATTACTAATTTGATGAAAGGTTCAAGCAAAAATTGGTGACTTATATTACCATTAGTAAGGCCAGTCAAGGCTTTTTTTATATTTCAAAATGGAATTACTTACACATTAAAACATATTATCAAGAGAAGCCAGAGATTAAGGTCCAGCTGGTTGCCAGATACCCGGTAAATTCAGATACTATACATCCTGCAATTTTTATAGGATTGTTTTAAGTGAATCTAGAACACCAATTCCGAAATTTTAATGAGTCTCATTACTGCAAGATATAGTGGCTTCTAAAAAATTTTCAGAGTCCCAAAGGAAAAGCATGAGTCTGTGGACTCATTTCCTGAGTCCAAAAATTACTGACATCTTTTGTAATATATGAAGCCATTTAAAGTCTGAGTATAACACTGGGAGTGTACCAGATCTTCTCACAGATATTTTAACCGAGTTCACATACATTTGTATAATCTAACTACAAAATGTATTTCAATACTTGTCATTAACACAATCCTATACAAAAATCAGAAACAGACTGAATGCTGCTTAAGGCATGTTTACCATGCTAGAGTGTGGTTCAGAAATGTGAGCTAAGCTGTTTAGAGGAAGGGTGTAAGATGATCACCACCATCACAGTGAGATACTTTAGAGAGATCTTGATCAGAATTACATATAATTAGAGCACAATGACCTCGTACATAATGTAACTAATGTGACACTATTTATACAAAACTACTTATCAGTACATGTACTGATAACAGTGGGTGGAATCGAATGGACGGTAGGGTTGTACAATGTTATCAGGCAATGATAAGTTTGGTAATTAAAACAGATGCTGGTATTACAAGGGAGTTGTCTACAGTTCATGTACACATGACTATTGTGTAAGTTATCTAGTTCATGTATATATAGATCCCACTGAACATAAATGTTAAATGTTTAGACATAATGTGAATTTGTGATATTAACCTTTCTTGAAATTACCCCTTTCCATTTATTGCGTCACCAGATGCCTGGTATTGATTAGTTTGATAGTTTTAATTTGTTCTGAAATATATGTAAAATTTTCAATATTATTATGATAAAAAACAGTGAGAAACTTATGTTAAAGACACAATTTGTTCATTTTTAGGAAACATTTCACCAAAATTGACTGTCAGTACACAACACTATTCAAATCATTGATTGATTGACCTGAGAGAAGAAGGAGGGTGCAGGAGGGGGGGGGGATTATCTGTACCCTCACCTTGACTTATAAATAGAATGAATAGGCATGGACACACAGTCTTTACCACAGGATATATCATGGATTGACCATGACTATATCTTTGAAAAATGTTAAATATATCAACATTAGTAAAAACTTTTCTTCACTATTACCATATTTTACAGAAGCAATTTTAAATTTCTCAAGTTGTCTGAAAAAGTTTGATTTCTGGAAATCAAAGTATGAATAGAAAAACATCCAGATGTATTAAAAGCACTCATTTCTATATTCTTCAGTTTTTTCCAATCAAATGTGTGTCTTCAAAGCAGACATCATTATATATATAATAATATCTGGGAATACAGTTTCAATATTTTTTATGAATTTATTTAGGTAAATTTTTTAGGTATGTATATTTTCATGTTGATAAATGATTGGTTTGATACACTGTATCTAATGACCAGGCCATTATCTGAAAGGCAGTAAGGGTTTTTATCAAGCCAAGTGGGTATAAAAATGCACAAGTATCCATGGTATGCCCTGCTGACATCCATTCACATTGAACAATCCATTTTCCGTGTCCTGCTTGTCTGTACTGGAAATTTTATCTCCTGTTTTCCATTTTATGTACATTGATTTTTACTAAGTCGGGCCAGTAAACTAGCGGAATAAATTGACATACAGGACCTTAAGGCAATATTTAGTTTCATGTCGACAACACTGTAAAGGAGAATTTTCCCAGATAGGCAGCTTACAATGACTACTGTACATTGTGTATTCAAATGAGCCCCAGTTGGTGTAGATTAAAATTGAGCTGGGCTGTGCCTGTATGTACAAACAGGCTTTACCCTACTAAATATTTCTTGATAAGGCTGGCAATTCATCTATGTCAGCAATGGCTTCTTATAGAAACCAACCACTCCATAACTTATTTAGTAGTAATAGGGGGTTAAAAATTAGAATGCCTTTCTCTGCGTGTTCAGTACTTGGTTTCTGGGATAATGAATTAGGCCGAGGGAAAAGGGGTCTTTTATACTTTGTCGGTGAATGAAAAACTGTCAAACAATTTACAAAACACATGGGTCAAGTATTCTAATTTGGTTCATATAGGAACGTTGGAAATGATCTTTAAGTAGGCCTATACAGAATTATTCTCATAAAAAGTTAAAATAAACAAACCAAAATCAATGACATTTTCCGAATATCTAGCGGGGGCTTGTTTATGGGTGTCTCTATGAAAATCAAGCTTAGTACCGTACAGGACGATAAACAATTAAATAGTCAATACACTGTAGCCTGCTTCACACATGAAATAAAGACAAATGACAGAAAGGAAATCAAATATTCATTGAACAATGTATCGACCTGTTTCGCTCAGCTGTCATTCCTGAAGCATGGTCTACGTCAAACAGTACTGGTCGACCCTCTGTTTTTAACACAAAACTTTCGCCGATACTCACCAATTTGTAAAACACTATCGACAGCACCATTTTCTAGAAGTCTTACTCCTTGATGGAAAGGTAGTTTTTGATTCTCTGCGCCATCCTTCCCACAATTTGCGAAGGAGGAGTACATACAAATATCCTTTTCGTTACGAGGGAAGGACCAGAACACGATTCGTCCCTGAACGGGTTCAGGGATACGATCGAAACGTTGTTCTACGGTCTGAAATGGGATGTTTTCCGCCACAATTTTAGCACAAATATCCAGTAGAGATTCCACTTTATCACCGTGTCCACTTTTACCATCCTTAAATCCCGAATTCCCGGCATTTTGGGATATCCAACTTGGAGCAAAATTCGTACACAGCCTTTTCGGAGCTGCCATGAGGAAACATCTGATGGATTGCACAAACCGGATTGCGCATGTGCAGTAATTCTTGTGGGAGGTCTACGCTTGCGTATCGTTTACAAACGTTTGTGTATGCTAGGTTGGGGCCGATAACATTACCTATGGGAAAATCCCTTCGAATGAATGAAAGGTCAACAAGCCCTACGATAAGCATATGTGAGATAAAACACTTCAATGGATTTCCGTGATTAAGCGATTTGGTTTGTGTCAACATAAAACTTGGAATCATTTCCGTTTTCACTGAAAAGAACAGAACCGACAAAATATATCAGAAAAGACAACAGAAACTTCCGTTGTGGATAAATGTAAACAAAATAGACTATGACATGGTTCATGCCTATCCATGACAAACAATCGATGAGCCCCGCCCACAAAAACATAAAATACTATCGAGAACACATTACTACGTTATCACGTCACAAGAACAGCAAGAGAGCAGAGTCAACTAAGTACATGGGAGTGTGACCAAGTGGAACGATTCGCGTTCTGCTGTACACGTGTGTAGAGAATAGAAATTCTAATAAGTACACTGTTCTCGTCATCTAAATTCATAAAATGAACGCCATGTCTGTATCAGATTTCTTACATTTTCATAATAGATGTGTGTAACTTGAGATACAAACTTAGAGCCAGTATAATTGCCATAAAATACTTACTATGATTTGAATTTAATTCAGACCTACATCTGTTCTTCAAACATTCCTCAGAAAATGCATACGTCCAGTTCTCATAATTATCATTGACATTTTTTAACGTAAATAGCATCTGTAATATATATATTCATTTATTTAATTTACATTAAACCATTTTTTAATGTAAATGAGAGGTATGGGGCAACTGCGGTGCAACTAAACCCTAGCACTAAATATAAAATCCATTTAGAAGCTGCTAGAATAAGCATTGACTGGATTATCAGTATACATCGTGATAAAAAAAACTAACAAACAAACAAATTTAAATAATAATAATAATAAAAACACACAAAAAATGCGGCGATCATTTTTATATCAGGAAACTGACTGGTTACCCTCCCAAAAATAGAAGATGTACTGAGAACTTCTTTCTATTTTACTCAATCGTTAACAATATCGTTATCAAATGAAGTACAATAATACAATAGTAGTTATTTCTAACTCCAAAGCTACATTAAATTGCAGCATCTTTTCAAGAGAGAATATCCAAATAATTTGTAAACATATTTCGATTTTTAAAAGCTTGCAGATTTATGGTAATGAAAAATCTAGATTTCGGAAATCTGGGATTACCTCTGTCCACTTTTGTTTGAACTTGCCATTTAAAGTTAGCTTAATCATTGAAGTGAGCCATTTAAGATTTATTCATTAATATCACATATCTATATCTATATTAATATTTCGTCATATTGACGGACATCTTCGTTTGTTCTTTAAATCAATACATGTTCGTTAATCGCTTTACGATCAGGATAAAATTTCTTTTAAACACAACATCAAATTAGGACAAATAATAAACAGATACATCGTTTGAAGTCGTAAAAACAGGTCTACTGAGTTAAGGTTACTCTAAACCCGGCGTAAATAACAATTATCAAACCAACAGTTATAGTAAGATGACAACACATCATACTTTTCATCTTTTTTTTATGTATTGTTAGAGCCAAGTTTATTTCATCATATAAATATTTTCCCTTTAAAAAGACATTCTTTGTGACCAAAATCGTATTGTGCTATTCCCATATTTATTTACGACGTATTATGCGCGTGACTTTTGTTATCCTATTATACTTTGCTACAAAACCGATTACTATATACAAGTTGATCTTATAAGATATATTTCAATCACACTTAGAGTAAATAAACTATTATAAGAATACCAGTGTAGCCGAGCCTCATTAACGAGTCAATTTGTCGACAGACTCATTTGGAATTATTTCTTTATCTTTAATTTCTTAACACACTTTTAAAGGTGTTTAAGCAATTTTTATTAACTTATTGCTTATTGTTGGCTTGGATTGTTCACATTGAGCAAGAATATAGGGGAATCTATAAGTATTTCTGCTAGAGGACGGATCACTATCTGCTGCTTCATCCGAACGTAATTTATTTATTTATTTATTTATTTGTTTATTTATTTATTCATTTATTTATTTATTTATCACGGACTTTCGGACTTTTAATACAGTCTGTATACACGTATAAGGATCACATCGAAAGGACATTTTTTACACAATGTTAAAAGTGCAAAAACTAAACAGACCAGTGCTTTTACCGTATTCACATGGACTATAAATTATTCTCAGATCACTGTGATACAGACCAGGATAATTTCATATTCACCAAGACTGTAACTCTGGTCCCTGTGATGTAAACTAGGATATTCCAAATAATTACACGGACTATAAATTATTCTCAGGTACCTGTGATACAGAATAGGATAGGTCCATATTCACCTAGACTGAAACTAATTTTATGTCTCTGTGATACAGAGTAGGATAGGACCATGTTCACAAGGCTGTAAGTAATTCTCAGGTCACTTTCATACAGACTAGAACAGGTCCATATTCCCCACGACAGTGATTAATTCTCAAGTCCCTGTGATACAGACCAGGGTTGGTCCTTATTCATCACAGCTGTAATTTCTCTAGGATCCCTGTGTATGAATTAGCATATCCGTACACCTCTTTAATCATGTGTTTCATAAAGGTGTGAATTAAACATTACATTAAATAAAGAAGATGATTGTGAAATAATTATGTCCACATTGGCTGTAAGACTAGCCTACGTATATCGATGTATTTTACAATGATCGCCCCGTGTACAATAAAGACAAGGATGGATCGATCTCGTGTACAAACCGTCAGAAGTCGATATGTACAGCATTCGCAAACGCCAGTAAGAGCACGTGTATGACTCTGTCGGGAAATGAACGTGCATTTTAAAATAACATCACATTTAATCACCCTTGCACGGCAAGATGTTGGGTTTGGATGGCTTGTCTCCTGCAGAGAAGTATTAACCAGTTCCAGAGGGTCTCCTTAGGACGTGGAACTTTAACCCACATAAAGGGGGACACACCCGGGAACCCAATACGTGGCGCCATCTGATGGCTATATACAAACATGCGTGATAATACGTCTACGAGCCTACTTAATTATGTACATGAAAGGTAATGTACCCTAAAGGAAAACAGCCTCGGAACAAACATCGATATCAAATCCATACTATCAGAAGAAAATGGAGACATTGCTTTCAATCGCTGTTATTTCGGGCTATCAAATTGAGATGCTGACTTTAAAAGACCTCAGCAAATAATAGCAGCAGTATTAAATATCTCATTTACATTGTATAAATTAACATTTACACGGACAACGGAGAAAACATGGTTTATGAAAGAGGAGGCTGGAATTCAATATCCACGCTATTTGAACCACGTGTCACTAGATAACGTCCAGATATCGGTACGTATGTAACACAGGGTGCCACATGGCGGTGCTTGTATGGGCTTATAGCCTTCAATACATACGTTTAGAACAGTGATATGTCTATGCATCACATTCTCAAAAGGTCTAGAAGGCCTGTGACTGCCACGATTTTAAATTTGTCAATGATAAGCCGGGATTCATTTGGTGTCAGAACTTTAGTAAACATGCTTTTAAAAGCCGAGAATATTTGAGAGAATAAACGACCATCTGAAAATTTAATAAGAATGGCAGACAAATTCTAGTGTTGATTCGTTGTGTCTGGTTTACAAGGGTCCGTTCGTGTTGTTGGCTACTTCAGGGCAATTCTAGTCTATCGATTCGAGCGACATTTCAAAAGGTATATCGCTCTAACCTCACCTCCGTGCCAATAACGAATCTGAAATAGTTAAAGTATCGTAACCTGCCATCCCGAGTTTAGAGACATGGTTACCGTGCCGTCTCCAGACCGTTCGTCTCGCCTTGTAGCTGCTGCCTCGACTAATGTATTGAATTTAAGTCACAATGCCGCAATTAATACGAACTGGGTCCTCACTTTCCGCCCAAAATGAATAAAAGCTCTGTAATAATTCACTCAAAATCATATTTTGTGATAGAGCAAAAATTATTTTTGTAGCAGTTCCCAGCTATGTTCGTTGATCAATAAGCACGCGCGCCGCTCACGCGTCTCCAGGGAAACAACAACGACGATTAATTAACAAATCTACAGATCGGTATCCGTTCTCTATCCTTGCGGATGGTTTCTGTTAGAAAAAAACGACGAACATTTTTCGAAGCAGTGTCCGGAGGGAGGTAATTATCCCCCCTGCCCAGAAATGCACGTCCCCAACAACCATGGCGCGTGTGAGCTTGCGACAAAGGTAGGCGCTCTCCAAATGACAACACACACGCTCTTTGTGGGTCCCTGTGGTGCATTGCTCTACATGACAACACGTATGAAACGAGTGCAGTTTTTCCCCATGAAGGCAGAGACTGTAAACTAAACTCAACACAGAATGGTAAAAGGGATATTCCGACCAATTTTCAAAATTTCTGACTGTTCTCTACCTTTCAAAAACTTATTCTAATTATTTTAAAAACTAATGTTAGCATCAATATATACCTGCCGTGGTTAGTTTGGACAGGCAAAATTGGTGGTAATACGCCTAGCCAAACCGTCTAAATATAGCGCATAGGGAATTTGTAAATGAAAGGTCACTGGATCATAGTGTGTGTACAGGGCACTAGAATTTCTGATAGGGTTACAATTTCATTAATTCATTAGGCTTATTTTCTGATGATTTCATATTTTACACAGATCTTTCATTCTGTTCGGCTGATAACAGCGCATACCTGTTACGACGCAATCAGGGCAGCTAGATGTAAAAGACTTTCCGCAAATTAAATCTGTGTTTGTATAAATGGTAAATTAAGGCGTACAGTTTCCACAAGAACATAAGTAGATGATTTTGTGGTTTTCTTCAACAGTAGCCCATGAAATTCTAACTTGTGCGGAATACTCTTCAAGACAACTTTAACA